TAAGCATTTTAACTTTGTAACTATTTTTCTCTTATTTTCTGAACCTTGAAATAATATTATTCATCAAAAAGATCTCAGCATAAATTTTTATAAACATGTTTTTCAATAAAATCTTGTGTTTCTTGTTATTTGAGGCCCAAAACTAATTATATTTTGGTGTAGTTAAAGCACTATTTTGGTTTAGCAATTCCATTTCCTGACACTATAGAAGAATTCCGGCACATTTTCCCCCTCATTCTTTAATCTATGAACTACGTATTGGCCTATAGATTTAACATAACCTTCCAGTAGAATTATTCGATATATGCGTCGTAGAACACTTACCATTTTCAGAATACCAATATACTAACTACAAAACTGCTCCTTTATCATTGCATTACATGGCCTAAACATGAGAACATGTCGGAGTTTATGTTCAACTAACATTGCTCTTATTATAAATTAGTATACTATCGCATATTTTAAATAATTTTGGGTTACCAAAATTATTAATAGTTTGCAGATATTTTTTTAATGAAGCAAAAATAACTCATAATTATTTGGTCATTAGTAAAAGAAACTGAATCCATTTATTAAAAGAAACTGAATTAAAATATATGACGGTTTATACTATCAAGCAGACGGTGATGACCAAAAAAAATTCAATCCTTTCTTTAAACGAAACTCAATTAAAGAGCATGATGGTTTATACGAACAGCAGGCAGTGATTACCGGCAAAGAAATTGAATTAAAGAGTATGATGGCTTATGCTCACAAGCATACAGTGATGACCAAAAAAGAAATCAAATCCATTCATTAAAAGAAATTGAATTAAAGAGTATGATGGCTTATGCTGACAAGCATACAGTGATGACCAAAAAAGAAAACAAATCCATTCATTAAACGAAACTGAATTAAAGAGTATGATGATTTATGATAACAAGCAGACAGTGATGACTAAAAATTTTGAGTCACTTCACTTGCATTCCACGAATTATTTTTAATATTCGAATTGGTGGAATGTTCTTGCATTATATATATATATATCAATTTGTTTTGAAAATTTTGACAATCTTAAATAATTAATTATTATAAAGGTTCATATCTAACATTAAATTACAATGCTATATATAATCAAACAAATTCTTCTTAAGAATATTTCAAAAATAATAAGGAAGTAGTGAAGAAAATATGCCGTTTGTACATATTAATTAATCATGTCCGCATCTGATTTGTCAAGTAGAGAACATGATTGATTAATATTTTGCTTAAGATGTCAAAAGCGTTTAATTAAGTATCTCTCTATTAAGAAATTTTCATCTTTAAATTAATGGTGACATCTCAGAATAATTTAGAAAGTCAAATTCAGTTACAAAATTGAATAGCTGAGAAAATATGATAGTATAACTTAAAAAGACAAAGTCGTATTGATCCCCACTACACATTGCAAACACATCTAAGAAATATCAAATTCAAAAAGATGAATGCAAAACTTTTATGCTAGAGATCAAACATATTTTTTGTATAAATAACATTTATATTAACAATTATATTGACATTTTATATAAATGAGTAATATATATATATATATAAATGAGTAATATATATATATATATAAATGAGTAATATATATATAAGAAAGAATAAGTTTTTAAATAAATGAATAATATTATAAATATTTATTTATTTCACATCCTATTAATTATATATAGGCATTTTGAATAAAATAAAATAATTAAAATTATCGTTATTCAATTCCTTCTATTAGCTCACACTCTCCCTATCTTGTTCAATCGTTAATAAAATGCATTTAATCATCCACTGAAGGTCAAATACATTTTTTTTAACTTGTAGTGGATTTGATGATAAAATAGTTTTAATATTGTTAAAATAGTTTTTTCAAATATTAATTTAGTAATTAAATTTAAATCATTAATTTTTTTTTTTTTTTTTTTTAAAGATTTAAGTTGCATATATCTATTAAATTGCATATAGATTACGCCAGATAAACTTAAAAAATGAATGAAAATTATTTATAAAAGACTTTCTGCAATAGAGTGAAAAAAAAGTAGGAATTGACATTAATTTTTTTTTTATATTACTTGTTTTTATATACAAATTTTATTCTGTATACATTTAAAATATTAATATAGGCAAGTCATCAGTGTCTGAAGGAAATGTTTAAGCAAGTATGTAAAAATGCTTGAAAATATCAAATTATTTAAATTATTTCAACATTTATTAAAAGATTAAAGCATTTTAAAACTCGGAAATTCATTATTAATGCTTTAAATAATTCCCATTAAATTTTATTTCGACACTATGAATTCTTAAATGTTTCAATGCATCTGAACGAAGAATATTTTTTTTTTCACACGTGAAAGGCAAATTGCTAATCAATGTTTCCTGAAGCGAAAAGAATTCAGTAAAACTAAAAAAATTAGATCATAATTAGTGTCAAATAAAGACCTTGGATGTCAATTATGAAGTAATTTAATCATTATAGTGTGAATAATTGAGCTTTTAAGATCTTGCACCTTTGTGAATAGCAAAACACCTAGATAAATTCATGGTTTATTTACTCGGGGCTATCTTAATATTAATAATTTCCCTAACTATGTATGGCATCTTCAACTATAATATTCTGACCTTAACGATATTGTTGCTTCTAATAAAATAAGAGACTGAAATGTTTTGAAATCTAATAATCAGTGTTTCACTGTATTAAGGTATTTGATTTAATAAATATTTATGCTGAAACTTCTAACAAGATTTCAAACCAAACATAGTGCTGCTTTTAATGAGTTAAGTACGCTTTTGCGAAAATTGATCTGGTATATCCTTATATATTTAAGTACAATGGACTTTTAAACAGAGAGAATTATTTGAATACTTCAACTAAATTTAACTGTAAATTTATGTGTCCATTACAGACATTTGTACATTAAATATTCAAGTCACAAAATCACTCCATTGTAATTGAGGAAAGTGGTTAAGTAACATCCCAAATTCTGCCCTCACAATGTTCTAAGTGTGGTACTCACTTGAAACAATTGTTATACAAAAATTCTGAAATGCTAAAATGGTTAAGCAAGTTCTAAGACAAATGCAGACATAATGCAACCATGATGAAATATTCCTCTATAAAAGCCTCTAAGAAACCTGCTTCAACATCTCCAGACATAGTAATATTTTGGTATTATTTTAATGCAATATTTCATTAGCAAATTATTAAGCAGAAAAACATTTCTCACCAATCATATCCAATAAGCAGCGTAAACTAATATTGATTCTAAAAACTATATGTACACTAAACTAAACGAATATTTACATAATATGTCATCCAAGTACATAGTGATCTGCTTCGAGTAAATGTTTTTAAGTAATAGACTTATATGGCTTATTTTGATTTTTGAGAATTAACGCGAGATAGAAAACATTTTTAATTCAAACATTTAACAAAATCAAACATTTAGAATTGCGCAAATCTTTTCAATTACCCAATAGCTGCTGGAAAGGTGGTGCAAATCTAAGTATTTTGTTAATTTTACTAGTTTAAAAAAAAAAAAAAAAAAACAATGGATTGAAATGCAGCTTTCATGGCAAATAACGATGGATTATTTAACATAAACATTTTGTTTTAAGAAATTCTCAATAAATGTATAATTTACAAAAATAAACTATTTTACTATTTTCATTTCAATTAGTTCTCACAAGTTCGAAGAATGTCTAAGATAAAAATTCAATCAAAATTTCCAAGTTTCAATATTATTATTAAATGTTACTTGTCATATAATTTTATGCTTCAGGCTATTAGATTTGTGCTTCATGTTCTTCTTTTTATCCTTCAAGTCATTCTTTTTATGTTTCATATAATTTTTTTGTGCTTCATGTCATTATTTTTAAGCTTCATGTCATGATTTTTGTGATTTACGTCAAAATTGTGTGCTTCACATCATATCAATATACTTATTTGTTGAAGTCATCAACAAATAAGTATAAAAAAACATAAATTTGACAAAACATAAAATAATAACATAAAACGTAAAATAATTTAAAAACATAAATTTGACAAAATATTTTTAAATCCGCTTTATTTTATCTTCATGCAAAAACATGTTCTTTCGTGTATATATAAAAACATTTTAGATTTTTTTCACTTCTTCTTATTGTTCATTATTTCAAAATACTTATAAAATACGTTGCCTAATTCCTTTATACAATTTTAGCACATGAATATGTAGTTATACCCATATATTTCATATTTAAATTTAACAAATTTAAAGAGAAGTTTTAACTGATATTACAAAATACCAGACTTTCAAACGTTAAAATGTATTTTATATGCATTATAATAAGAATGAATAATAACACTGTTTCATCCAGAAAAATGGACAAATAATCAACTTCTACAATGCATGTTAAATCTCGCATCGTTAAATCTCTTCAACTAACGATAAATGCAACGAGGGAAGTGAAGTGAAGTGAACTTTTAACATTCGCTTTATGAAGATTTAACCATTAAGACATAATGATCCTATCCACATTATGGTCCTTAAAATGGTTCAACGGACAACTATCATTATTATTATTTCCTTCAGGCGCTTTGCTACAGTATGCCAAGAAAGCGATTATGATTGTTGCAAAAAGTATATTTTATTTCAGTCTTAAGTCATCACCAAAGAAACTATGGAACATTCAGAAGAAATACATTAAAAAAAAAAGTACTATAATAGCAACACATGTATTATGGGTAATTATCCATTCTCATTGTTAATAAAATAATTATTTAGGTCATTTTTTAAGGCGCACAACACTAAAATTAATATTCATCAAGATGACAGTAGTAATAGTGGCGTGAACATAATGTACTTGATTTGGTGTACCACTTCTGTTGTGGGCCAATCTTTTGATTTTGTAACATCGTGTAGTTATGCTAAATTTGTTTTAAAAATTGTTGCTTTATTTAAGAAGCTCCATGATAATTAGTAACATAATTGTTGTATAAAATGATTTATGCCAACGGCCGTACCATGCTGAATATACCGGTTCTCGTTAGATCACCGAAGTTGCACCGAAGCATCATTGGGCGCGGTCAGTACTTGGGTGGGTGACCACCTGGGAACACTGCGTGCCGTTGGCAAATTTGGGACCTGAATGGCCGAGTGTCTAGCGCTCTGGCGCTCGGTGCCACTGGTTTCAGGTTCGAATCCCGGCGGTGTCATGGATGTTTGTAGTGGTTCGGAATCCACTTTAAGCCGTAGGTTCCGGTCTTCTATGACTGTAAGAGCGTCACGGAGCAAAAGTCAGGCTTCTACCTACGGGTGCTCCATCACAACAGAAGCTGCTTCCTTCCCCTTCAATCATGAGTCCATATGGGCTTGTGGGCTTGGCCAGCCAAGTGGGATAAGAAACAACAACAACATAAAATGATTTAAGTATTTTCTGAACTTATTTGATACTATTTAATGTGTTTTCTTTAATGCACATATTTTCTTTCATTAATCCATATTTTACTCCGTGTGATGCAGCCATTTTCAAACACTGATTGCCACAATTTATGACTATGGCCATAATAATAAGTCATTTTTTTATTTATATAAAATGATTTTAAATGATTTTCTGGTGACTGCTTAGATAGAAAAATTACATTTATAAAACTATATTTTCGAAGTAAACCTTAAAAAATGGTTTTCTATAATACTGCATAAATGTGGTGTTATATAGTACAAAAAAGATTTTTTAATTTTATTTTGGTTTCCAAAAATGTTTAGATGAACAAAAATAGTAAATGAAACTGAGTATTTAACAATTACTTAAATGCATTGAGAAATACTTCATTTTCAATCAGTTATAGATTTAAAATATGTTTCACCAATTATACATGATGCCGAATGTCTCGAAACGTCTGCACTCAAAACTAGTTCACATGGCGCTGAATCCTCCAGAGAAGTAGGGTAGAGAAAGAGAAATGATTCATTTAATTTGAAATGTGATTAATTGAAAAGACGAGTGATTTCCGGTAGGTGTAGTCAGGAAAATTACAATTATAAAGTTCTAGTCTCGAAGTAAAAATTTAAAAAGTAGTTTTATATAATTTGGCATGAATGTGGCAAAAAAAAAAAGGATTTTAATTTTATTTTAATTTCCGAAAATGTTCAAATGAACAAATGTAGTAAAAGAAACAGAACACTTAACAATTACTTAAATTCATTGAGAGATACATCGTTTTCAATTGGTTGTAGATTTAAAATATGTTTCATCACTTATATACATGTATGTGATGCAAAATGCCTCAAAACGTCTGCAAAGCAAACTAGTTCACATGGCGCTAAATCGTCCAGGAAAGTACGCTAAAGAAAGAGAAATGATTCATTTAATTTGTAATGTAATTAATTGAAAAGACGAGTTATTTCCAGTAGGTTTATCGTGGATATTGCATCAAAAGTTTAAATTGATAAAAATTATAAATAACGCTATTTCAAATCTACATTTTTATAGCACCTTTCAATCTCTAAAATGTGGTGTTAATTCGTCAAATACATATTCCCACCTACATTAACCGTATTGAATGAATATTGCCTAATGAGTTGTTGTTTGTTGTTGTTTCTTTTCCCACTTGGCTGGCCAAGCCCACGAGCCCATATGGACTCATGATTGAAGGGGAAGGAAGCAGCTTCTGTTGTGATGGAGCACCCGTAGGTAAATGACTTTGGCTCCGTGACGCTCTTACATTCTTAAAGTGGTCAAAATCCATGGCACCGCCATTCGAACCCGAAACCTTGGCACCGAGCGCCAGAGCGCTTGACACTCGGCCATTCAGGTCCCAAATTTGCCAACGGCACGCAGTGTTCCCAGGTGGTCACCCACCCAAGTACTGACCGCGCCCAATGATGCTTAACTTCGGTGATCTAACGAGAACCGGTATATTCAGCATGGTACGGCCTAATGAGTAATGGGCATAATATGGTTTAATAGTAGAATGATATGATATTCCAAAAATATTGTTTAATGACATATTTTATCAACATTTAATTAGTGTATTTACATTTCACGCAACTATGGAAGAGCTATAAAGTGTAAAAAGAGAAATGAAAAATTTTAAAGAAAAGAATATAAAAAAATGGATTACTATTATTATATTTTAATTGCCTATCAGCTTGCGCCTTTTATATTCTAGATATTTCCCGTGTGGGTTCGGGTTAGAATAGCCTTACTGTAAACTATGCATGCCATAAAAGGCGACTAAAATGGGTACCCAGTACCCGATGTTATAACCGGGAGGGGTAAAGTCAGACTTCTGCCTTTAGGTGCCTCATGTCTTTGTGCCGCAACGTCAAGGACAAAAAGAAGATACATTTTTACCCTTTATCATGACTCATCGCAGTTCAAGGACTTGAACTAGATGTTGTGTCGACCAAGTGGGATAAGAACAACAACAAAATAACCTATAGGTACTACTAAATATCTATTTTTCCTAAACTATTTAAGAAATGATGGATTGTTTAAAATAATTATTTTACTAATTATATACAAGTTTCAAAGTTGAGTTCACATTTGGTTTATTTTTTTATTTTTCTTGAAAGTTTTCCCACAACTTATAAATGATACTTTAGTAAAGTATTATTGTTATCAAAACATTGCAATGACATTTTTAGTATAATACAAAATTAAATTTTCCTTTGAACCAACAGTTTAATGATTATTTCATATTTATTTTTTATTAAAATTATTACAACATGATCCAAAAATCAAATTGAAATTCAATGTACAAATATTTTACAATTTGTAAATTATTGCCGTTTGTGAAAGCTGAAACTGGTGGTTTAGTGGTAAAGTTTAAAACTACTGCTCCTTGTATGAGGAATCCAATAGTGGCATGCATTGTAGTTGTCACTGCTTTGAGAAACAGTAAAACTCAATGACAATTGTGAGAACTTGAATTGCATCTCTTATCGATAGCCAAGTTGCCTGGTGAGATTTTTCTCCCATGCAAGAAACAAATGTGGCCACGTTATCCACGAAAGTTTTGAAAAGCAACGTTTTAGATCATTATCATCCCCAAGTGGGCTGTTTATGGCATACGTAATTGCAAAAGGTAGAGCAAATTACATATTATATTGGAAACAAAGTTAAAAACGAATAATAAACGTACGTAAATAAATAATTAAATTACATCAAAGCTCTTTCTCACATCATTATGATCATCAATGCCTACCATTATCATTATCTCAGACAGCAAAAACAATCTGCCAATGGAAGTAGAAACGGGAGCCGAAATCTAATCATTTTATTTTACGAAGAAGACAGCAGGGAATTCCTACAGTATATTGGATTTCATTCAATCGATTCAATTTCCAACGAAAGGGTTATTACTTTTGAAACTTAATTACATTAAGAGATTTCCTGTATCAATTTCTTACATTCCAACAGATTCAATATTTTATATTCAATTTCAAAAGAAATTGAAAATATCTTATGAAATTGAAATTGGATCATGCTCAGAGACATAAAACTTCGGCAGTAATCCACAATCAATAACACCAAATTTTTTTCGAATAATATTCATTACGTATTAAATAAACTAAGAACATTATTTATAAATTATTATTTGCTCATTTTCTAACAAAAAATATTATTATTCCTCAGTGTTTAAAATAACTGCATCGTGATCCAAAAAACAAATTATATTTCTTAACCAAGCAATTAGAGGAGCTGTATGTTTTCGCGAACTAATAAAAAAATATTTTAAAGCGTTCCGTGTTAAAACTAACAATATGGCAGTTATTTTTTGACAAAGTTCTCTAAAAATCGTTTTGATTATTTTGAAATTCGAAATATATGTCAAGCAAAATATTCATAATAAATTATCCTTACCGAAAACAAAAATAATTAATGGTTCTACTTATATACATATAATAATCATTTGTTCCACATTCATCTATGAGTACTTTTAAAAACGCGGAACATGCTTTGATGGACACTATGTATAAGTGTTGTGCCTGTGGAGCAGTTCAACACATATAATTTTAGCAATTCAATGGTAGACATAATGTTGAGTGACAGGCTATGTCATCAGGAGATGGGAAATGTGGAAAGGATTGAATCAATCGTGGGTGTAATTAAACAATCCCAATATATAATTCTGGATTGTTTGCTCAATATAAATATCTGTACTTACCAAACCTTTTCTTCATTCCATTAATGATGGCTCATTATAGGACTATTAATGGCGTATAACCATTGATGATTTTATGAAGCATTATGCACTTTTAGCTTAGAAAGATCGAAATACCGTTACATTTAGCTCGATTTTGTATTCTTACATATTCCTAAAACACTATTATAATAAGATCGACTATATTAAAGAGGCAGTTGCTCATATATAGCGATCGCAAAAAAGGGGATTTATTAATAATTGATACTCTTTGGCCAGTGTTGTCAAAAGGATGGATAAAGAATCATACCATTTTTATTTAAATGTACCTTGATTCATGCCTTCTCCTACCCACTGACAGCAGCGCCCACTTTGGCGTTCAAAAGAAATAGTCAGTAGGAGAGACTCGAGACTCTCACCAAAAAAGAAGTACTGCGCTCCAGCTAATAATATAGTGTCTGAGTGAGTTTATAGTCTTTCATCCCTAGAGGAAATATATTTAACGCAATCATGTATATTAGTTGGCCTACAAACTCTCAGCAGGAAATTTAGTTTGGTTTGTCACTCAACGTTATTTTTGTGCACACTTTAAGCTAATTAGACTGGGACCCACAGTTTAACGTGGATTCCGAGCAAACATCCATGCCATTGCCAAGATCTGAGCTTGAAGGCTATAGTGCCAACAACTAAAACGCTAACCAACTAGTCATCATGCAACTCTCACCCGGAAAGGAAGTATATTTCGGATCCTGTGCGTAGCTGATTATCGAGTTTTCGGCTTAAAAATGGAATCCTTTTCACCACTCTACAATTATCAGTCTTTCAATATGTTGAATATTGTATGTGTGCAGTGTTTGTAAATATGTCACAAAAGCTGTGGGTTCTCCAACCTGTGCCTCAAGCATCTTAACCAAACACATCCAGTTACAGTTAATTGAGCAGTCTGGTTGCCTAATATGCACACAACAACCTCAAATTTATT